GAACAATGGCTTTAAGCGGAGAGGGCAAGGACTGATGTGGCACTTCAGGGCTTGCTCACAAAAATGCACTTGATCTCAGAGTTTAAGAAAACAGTGCGTCTACAGGGAGCGAACACAAGGAGGAGGCCGACAAAGAGAGAGAGAGAGAGCTCGGGAGACAAGCAACAGGGGCTGTTGGTTTGACAGAGAGATCTCCATGATGTCTTTATCACAATGTTATAATGGTTTATTTCTAGTAGGATGACTAGAGCCATGATCTCACTATTTAAACCAGGTGTCTCAAACCCGCAGCTTGAGGTCCACTTCCAGCCCATGAACTTCTCACATTTGTCCTTTGACTAGGTGTCGATGAGAGTTTAGTATATTAAAGATTATTATACATTTTTCTACACGTAGTAGATGTAGATGTCCTGAGATGTAGGCGAAAAACTTTCCGAAGTTCTCTATTGTTGTAAAATATGCTGCAATGCATTAAACTCCACTTCTACTGACTTCTATGACTGCAGTCCTGTGTGAAAGCTTATAAAAGAAGAATATGTAACAAAGGATTCAGTAAAACGTCTCTTACAATGTCTGTGTGTGAGTGTGGAGCTTTTATTAAGAATGTAACGAATCAAAACGTATAGAAAAGAGAAAACATCCTTCTAAAAAAGTATGAATGGAATTTGGATCCACCAACAATGGATGGAAGCGACGCCAAGAAAAACCTCTCCAACATCATCAATCTCCCAACAAGCCACTGAGTGGAAGGAACACAATCATTCTTAGGTAATGAGGTCATTTTTTAACAACAATCCAAAGGCCTTTTAAAGAAGCTTCATCAAATACAATAGTTTAACTTTGCAGAGTCATTTGTTGACTTGAAGAGATGAGCAACATGTGTTCAAACAGTGCTACATGAATCAGTTTAATAAACAGAGATGTTTGGAAAAAAAAAAAAAACAGGACATCACCAGAGAATCCATTTTTTCCACAGCAGGAGACCAAACTGTTTAAGATCTCCATCACAGATAAAATATGCCCTGCCAAATTCCCTGTGTCCCAGTGTTTCCAAAACACATGGAGCACGCAGAAGGTACTAACACACCAGCTCCCTCTTATGAATCCAATCAATGGCTTGAATGGGAAATGGAGAATGTGAAAGGGTCACAACTCTAGGGATGGAAATAATCCTCCTAGTTGCTACTGGGTATATGGTATATAAACAATGGAGTGGAAAAACATTAGTCTAAGTCTGAAGGTTTACGCTATTGCACCACAACACGCTTTGCCTTTCCTGTCACAAAAGCAGAAACCTGCAGTACACATAAAGCATGTTCAAAAAAATAATAAAGCAATTAAAGGTCATTCTGTCCATGTCAATGAAACACTGCACCACTTTTCAGATCTCACGCTCCTCAAAGCAGAAAGACTGACTGCCTGGCCAGGTGGAATGGTAAAGCCATCTCTCCAAGGGGTGATAAAAGTTCAGACTTAGCACGAAAACTAATCTGGAGACCCACATTTGGAAAATGGAGCCTCAAAGCTCCATATTCTCTCATTAAGGCCCAACAGTAGAGACCACAGGAAAGCAGATTGCCATCTTTGCTGCAGGCAAAAAAAGGAACATTTGATATTCCCATTTGGCCTGAGCAGACCTTTGAGTTAGCTTAGCTAACACGATTTCGCCAAGTGATTCTTGATTTTAATAATACTGGAGTTTGTCGCAGATCCCTGCATTAGGTATTATTTACAATGTGTACAAAGGTTGAGGAAGGTTCATCTATAGCTAGCAAACAGAATCTTCATCATCAATACTGTGTCACTCAATCATTTTAAAACAACTACAAAAGTCTAAGAACAGAAAAATAAATGAATTGCAAATCAATTTTGTGTTTGCGCTCCATGCATTGCATTAAGTCTATGTTTTATCAGCCTTGCACAAGTGTTTTTTCGAACAACATTTTAACATAATGTACAAAGTTCAATTTTATTATGAAAAAAGAAAACGAAAAGAGGAACATGGTACAATGTAGTCTTAATAGACTGATAAGGTTTCACTCCCTTTGCCTTCGGCTTCTTTTCACTAAGTCTTAAGGGGTCATCCAATTTTAATGGTCACTTGTTGCCTGTGGAGAGGTTTTTAGTGTTATGAAGGTGCCCCAAGACCACCCTAGTGCCAAAACAGCCCCAGGGTCAATGGCTCAAAGTAACCCAGGCCTTGACGATGCATATGTGAACTGGAAGACAATATGATTTACTCTTTTCATTTTTTTTTAACTGAAACCACGCTGAGCAAACCATCGTGGGCTTTGAAAGTGAAACAGGAGACTTGAGTGGTTTATGTCTACACTGGAGGAATAAAATGAGTTCTTTTTGTTAGAAATGTTCTCTTCATATTCTCTGATAAGAGTAATTCTAGTCATGAGAGCTCAAGAACAGCTTGTGCAGCAGACACGCAACCCTCATTTTCTCCGTTCTCAGACCACTCAAATATAAAAGAAAGAAAAATTTAAGATGAATGTATCTGGAAATGGGAACAATAAAGTCCAAAAGAACAGGCCCAAAGAAAATAATTACTTAATGTACTGCAGATTTGTGCATAAGACACATTTGAATAATGAGAAACCACATGTAATAGGTGTTTCCTATCATTTTGGACTTGACTTCATTACAAATATTTATTTGTAAATGTCTCCTGCGGATGACAGTGACTGTAATAGGTAAAATATTGCAAAACATGTGGTTTGCCAGTAGCTGTGGAGCATAGAAAATTTAATAGAAGACTTACCTCAGCACGTTGAGTTCTAGGTAGATTGACGTCAGTCTCAATGGCGTACACATCCACCAGGTACAGATCAGAACCCTTCTCTCTGTCCAACTCTGCTGCGGTCTGTATCACTCCAGTGTTGCGGCCAATGGTGAACAGGCGACCCACAGCTTTTCCCCCACTGCGCACTGCCACAATGAAATACTCCACTTTGGTCGCTGAGCCCCGTGGACTTGACGCATCAAGGGAGATGACATTGGTGCCAGGTGGCTGGCCTTCCTTTAAGATGGTGATGTACTTGGGCTGGGAGAAAACAGGGCCGTCCATGCCTTGGAGGATGATAGTCAGCTCAGTCCTGGACATCCTGCGGTTGGTGCCGTGGTCAGTGGCTGATACGGCGAGTGTGTACATGAGTCGAGATGGAACCAGCTGGGAAGCCAGACGAATGTCCCCGCTGTACCTGTCCATGATGAAGGTGTCTGAATCTCCTTCTACAAGCTCATACTCCACTTCACCATTTGCCCCGTCATCAGGGTCAACTGCCACCACTGTTGTCAGAATGGAGCCGATAACAATGTTGGGCTCAGCCACGAGGGCGTTCTGTGATACAAAAGTCGGAACATTGTCATTCAGGTCTGTTACCCATATTGTGACGTTTTTCAAGGCAAAGCGGCGGAATTCTACTGGAAACGCCTGGTCTGTGGCTTTGACTGTCAGCTCAAACAGATTAGAGAACTCCCTGTCAATTTCTCTGTTGGTGTAAATGAGTCCACTGCCCGAGTCAATGTTAAAGTGGTTTCCTCTGGGAATCTGCTGGACAATGGAATACTCCAGCTGCCCATTAATGTCCGCATCTGTGTCATGAGCTGTAATGATCATGACCGAGGATGAAAGTGGAAGATTCTCAGGAATGGATTTGAAAATGTCACCAGGAGTAAATATGGGAGGATTGTCATTGAAATCCCTGACTTGGATCACCACAGGGATGGAGGATGAGCGAGGAGGCCTCCCGTTATCTTTGGCCGTAATGTTAAGTTTGTAAAATGACTGTGTTTCAAAGTCCAGCTTTTTGACCAGAAAGATGCTGCCAGTGTTAGGGCTGATGCTGAAAGTGCCATGGTTGTTCGTAGCTGTGATGCTGTAGATAATGTCTGCATTCTGACCGGAGTCTGCATCAGTAGCTGTCACAGAGGCCACCAACTCTCCTATCCTCATGTTCTCCAAGACATCCACAGACAGGGAAGATTTAGGGAAGGATGGGGAATTATCATTCTCATCCAGGACACTGATACTGAGCATACATGAGGAGGACAAGGGCACGTCTCCAGCATCAACAGCTAAGATTTTCAGAGAATAGGAGAATGTAGATTCATAGTCCAGCTTTCCTACTAATGTAACCTGTCCAGAGCTGCTGTCAATGGTAAACTGCTCCTCCTCATTGCCCTCAGTGATGCGATAACGCACCAGTCCATTATTATTCTCATCCACATCAGAAGCTGAGACTCTCAGCAACTGTGTCATGTTTTGAGCCGACTCTGAGATGGAGGCCTGGTAAATGTCTTTGGTGAATTTAGGCGTGTTGTCATTGATGTCTTGAATGTAAACCTGCACTTTAGCCTGGTCTCTGAGGGGCTTGGGGAGACCCTGGTCTGATGAAATGACCACAAAGCTGAACACAGCGGCGCCTCTCTGTCTCATGAGAGACTCACGATCCAGCTGCAGTGTGCTGGTCAACTCTCCTGTGACGGCATTCAGCTCAAAATTGGGCTGCGGGTTCTCAAAGGTATATCTGACATCACTGTTTGGTCCAAAGTCCTTATCCTCTGCACAAACCCGACCAACCAGTGACCCCCTTTTCTGCTCTTCCTCAAAATGAAACACATAATTTGTGCTGTTAAAGAGAGGGCGGTTGTCATTTACATCATCAAGAATCACGCTGACATTGACGGTGGCACTTAACGGTTCCACAGCTCTGTCCTTGGCCAAGATTACTAAGTTATATCTGTCCTGCATCTCTCTGTCCAGCTCTGCTTTGATATACAGATGGCCGTCAGGGAAAATGCCAAACACGTCACCAGTGTTGCCACCAACGATGTTGTAGATAATCTCTCCATTGAAACCAGAGTCTTTGTCGGTGGCCTCCACTTTAAAAAAGCGGCTGTTGACAGGCTCAGACTCCAGGATTATGACTTCATATGATAGCTGGTCAAAGACTGGTGAGTTGTCATTCACGTCATAAACACTGATGATAAGGATAAGGCTGGAGGTGTGCTGTGGGACCCCCATGTCTGAGGCCATGACCTCCACCTCATAAGAGCTAGTGGTGACCTCTAGTGGGCTGGTCAGTGTGATGAGACCATGTTTCTCATGAATATGAAACAGACCTCTGGGGTTTTGTTTGAGGCTGTAGACCACCACACCATTCGGTCCCTCGTCAGGATCTGCAGCTTTGGCCTGGAATATGACATGACCTGTGCTCCAGTTCTCCACTGCACTCACATGCTCCACAGCATGGATAAAATGAGGGGCATTATCATTTAAGTCCTTCACTGTCACATTAACAAATGCCTCTCCAGTGATCTCTCCAGCTCTGGCCACTACTTTCAGCTGATAAAAACCTTGTTCTTCTCTGTCTACCTGACTGGACGCTGTGATCTGACCTGCACTGTTAACAGCAAAAATTCCCCTTTGGTCACCAGAGGTGATCAGATATGAAATGTTTGTGTTTAAATCCACCGTGGTGGCTGACACTGTCCCTATCACTGTGCCAATGCCAACATTTTCAAACATGACAAAGCTGTAGATGTTTTGACCAAATACTGGAGGGTTGTCCTGTGTGTCTATGACAGTAACAGTCACAATGGCCTGAGTGTCTGAACGCAGACCAGTACCATCTGCTGCTGTCACCTGCAGCTGGTAAGCAGTCTTTTCCTCCCTATCCAGAGGCACCAGAGTGGTAATTTTCCCTGTGTTGCTATTAATGCGGAATTTGGAAGCATCTCCAGCTGTAATTATATATCTGACTGTGCCATTTCGACCTAAATCGGGATCTGTGGCTGAAACTGTGGTCACATAAGAGCCTGAAGGCTCATTTTCTTTTACATTGGCAAAATACTGCACAGGGTAGAAAACTGGCCTATTGTCATTGATATCTCTCAGAGTGATGTTGACTTTTCCTAAAGAGTGTAAAGGGGGGGTGCCTGCATCTGCTGCCTGGATGTGGAGTAAGTAGGAGCCCTGATCCTCCCTGTCTAACTCCACGGCTGTGCTTAATCGCCCTGACACTGCATCCAGGCGAAACAGCTCCTGGACATTGGCTGGAGTCTCTGCATCAAAAGTGAACCGGACAGTTCCATTGGCCCCTCGGTCATCATCTGAGGCAGACAGCACCACCAGCTCAGTGCCAGCAGGAGCATGCTCCGGCAGAGAAACATGATATGTGCTCTGAGTAAATGTGGGCACTTGGTCATTCACATCAGTGATGTTGATTATCAATTTAGTGTAGGAAATCTTGGGCTGCAGCCCCTGGTCTTTGGCACTAATGTTGAGCACAATTTCAGACGCTATTTCCCTATCCAGCAAAGCTGCACTGGTAACCAGACCACTGTTTTCACTGATGGAAAACCAGCCCAAAGCATTTCCAGACACCAGGGAGTAGCGCAGGTTGGCATTCTGCCCGGAGTCACCATCTGTTGCAGAAACCCCTTTAATGTAGCTGCCTTTTGGTATGTCTTCACTGATATCTACTCTGTACAGTGTTTCCTGAAATATAGGAGGGTGGTCATTTATATCGTTCACAAAAATAACCAAACTGGCAAAGGACGAGCGTGCCATAGGTTTGCCATTGTCTGACACTGACACAGTGAGGTTGTACGAGGAAATTCTCTCCCTGTCTAACACACTAGCTACTTTGATCAGACTCAAATTGGGCACTGGGGATGTGTGCACTTCAAAGTGCCTCTGCTCGTTGCCTCCTAAGATAGAAACAGATATGTTGCCATTAGCAGTGCCGGAGTCTGAGTCTGAGACGGTGAGCAGAGCCACAACTGTACCTATTTGAGCATTTTCATCAACTGAGGCAAACTTAGAAGTTGTGGGAAAATATCTAAATTTGACCACCGGGTCGTTGTCATTTACATCTAGAAGTTTAATTGTGGCTTCTGTTCTGCCTGACAAAGAGGGCATCCCGTTATCTACTGCATGAATAGTCAGTGAATACTCTTTTTTAGTCTCATAATCCAAAACTTCTTTTATAGTGATAATACCCACTTTGGGGTCTATTTGGAAAGGTGTGCCCTCATCTAAAAAGTACCTGATTTCAGCATTGGCTCCCTCGTCCTGATCTGATGCTGTGACCTGCAGGACACTGGACCCTACTGCTGTATCCTCAAAAACACTGGTATGATATTGCTCTTGTTCAAACAGAGGGGGGTTGTCATTTATGTCCTGAATAGTCACATTTACTTGCAGGTAGCCAAACTTTTTGGGGTCTCCCTTGTCCTCCACTTCAATCAGCAGCTGGTAGAAAGGAGTGAACTCTCTGTCCAAGCCTCCAGTGGAGACGAGGTGCAGGAACGCGCCCTCTCCACTTGGATTGACTGTAATATCCAGGCGAAATTTCCTCCGCTCGTTGCCTTTTACTATTCTGTACGTGGTGTGATCAACTCCGTTACTTCCAATGTCTGCGTCAGTGGCAGTGTCCAGGATCACCTGCCGGCCGCTGCTCGCGTCCTCCTTAAAGGAAACGACAATGGAGGCGTCTGGAAACACCGGTGAGTTGTCATTAATATCCAAAACTACGATCCGCACTTCTGTGGGATAGGTGGGTTGACTGGACAGCACCACTACATTGATGACATCACTTGTCAGGACCTCCCTGTCAATCACCGAGGAGGTGAAAATGACACCTGTGGTGCCATTGATGGCAAAAAGTTTGTGGTGCTCGCTGAAGCGGTACGTGAAGCTGGGCTTGGTCTCTATGGTGCCCACATAGGTGCCCACGGGCTGTTCCTCCAATACACGAAACTCTTGGCGGATTTGGCTGGATGCGGAGTACCGCGATAAAGTCCAAAGCATCAGCAGAATGAAGTGAAACCGGCCCAAACTCCTACCTGTGTGCGCCATGGTCAGTGAGCCAGTCCTCCTTTCTCAGACAGAGTCCATGCCGGATGATGCATCAACTTTTCTGAGCTCGTTTAGTCCGAAAAGGTCACTCCAGCATTGTGCAAAAGTAAGATTAAAATAAAACAAAAACGCAACAACAGTTCTTTCCACGCTCTTTCCGTCTGCAACTTGTCCAGTGAAGTGTTTTTCTCTCCTCTCTGCTGCAGAGAGGAGAGCACTCTTCCAGTGCGACTTAATCCTCTGAATGGAGAGAATGAATCCTGCAGATGAGGAAAAAAGTTTCACTTCAACTTCTCCAATTACAGCATTATTTTCGGTAAGGAATCAAACGATCCCTAAAAAGGCAAAGACGACAGAAGATCCTCCGGCTCCTCTGAGCTCCGTGAAAACAAAAGTTTATCCAAAGTTAGAGCGCAGACGGCCAGTGTGTGTGTGCAGACGGCTGAGCCCACGCAACGTCCCGTGGAATAACGGTACAGGCGCTTCAGTCATATTGTGTTCAGGAGTCCAACAGTAAGTTAGGACAAAGCAGGAGTTCCACAAACTCCCTCCCATCACTGATCTCATTGGATGGCGGTGCGCTTTTGCCCGCCCTGCCTCAGCCTCTTACCCCCTCTGTGTGCAGCAATCCGGCTGCTGTCTGGGCTCCTGGATAAGGACGTCAATCTAAAGAGGCAGGAAACTTAGCACCTAATGACGACTTAGAAAGAAAATATATGTAGTAATGGAGAAAAAAAATCTGACATCTTCAGGGTATTGAATGTCATTTTTATCGCAAAATATTACCTACATATGAAGTCATATAAAAAAAATGTTTTTAAAGTTGCTTTAAAAGTAATTCATTTAAAATTTTAACTTTAATTAAATTACTCCAATCTGTTCATGTTCTAAACTTCATATTTAAGTTTCAAGTACAATGCTGTCAATATTATAACTACATAAATCTCAAATAATTTGTTTCTATTCATGGGTCATCAGTTCCATCTAGCGGTGAATTAATAGCAACGCAACACGTGGTGGATGACTGTAGTTGTCAAGTATCCTTCCTTTGAAGAGAGAATGTAGTCAATTATTTCTTTGAATTGAATTTTTTTGGGGTTCATTTTAAAGAGGATCTGTTTTTTCTCTGGCTTTCTTCGGTTCTATTGAAGCTTCAGTCGTCTTCGTTTTCACATTGGTGCTCTCAGACTTAAATGCTTTGCATTATGAATAGTATTTTGAGTACTACCTATAGTAGCACTATAGTGGTACCATATAGTTTCACTGACTTTAGGTGGCCTGTTATTACAAGTGAACAAGGTCACAGTGAAGGTCAAAACAGTGATGGGGAAACCTTTGTTCTCAAAATACCAGGCTAAGGAAACCACTAACTACTAAAAGTAGCGTGTTAGGAACACCATGTTCAGGTGGTTCATTTAACCATATCCACGGTAATCACAGGGAGAGGGGATGTCACTGGTACTCGCAGATGTTTGGACCTCTCCCTCCAGTCCTTATGGACCAGGGGATTCTGACCATGAGGGATGTAGGGAGACTCTTAAACCAGGTTTACAAAGTTTTTATAAAAAGTCAGAGTGGACTCTCAGTCACCCTGCTTATTGTTTCTGAAGGAAGCTGAATATTTACATCTGGACTTACCTTCAACATACAATGTTTTTTTTTCTTGACAGCCCAGATTGACCAAATACGAAAACAGCTGTGTCAACTTTTCAAGCAAGTACTAGATACGACTTTATGAAAGTGTTGTGTTTAATAGTGAAACAAACCAAAGGCAAATTCCAGTTCTTGCAATATCAATAAACCGATCCATGTATGAAAGGGACCGAATGATTGTACTTGGTTGAGGAGCTTTGATGTAGAGGGTCTTGCCTGAGAATTGAACCTGCAACTGTCTGGTTGAAAGACAAACCCTGTGCCCACAGTCCATGATTAAAAGACTTTTTGATACTGATTCCACTTGAATGTTGTAACTGCTTAAAGAAAAGAGTTTGGATTTTCCAGGGAAAAAAAAGAAAAAGAAAAACACAACTAGATATTCCATTTGAACCAGATGAAATATCATTCCATGCCAACGCAGAGGTTTCTGGGATGGCATCATATCATCTCATCAAATCCATAACACATTTTCCCAGTCGTGACAGCTGCTTTTGATTTTAGGTAGTGGAGAGCTGTTCTCACAGTGTCCTCCCTGGTATTTGAAAACATCCTTATGTAATGTTAAAACCCATTTCACAGTTATTTTCACTTTGTTTCTCCTATCGCGGTAGTTGCGCTCCAAGACCCACCGCGAAAAGGGAAAATCCGCAAGGAAGGACCGAGATGGTTTTTATATTATTTCCGTATATATTTACACTCCACGAACCTCCACCACACTGTTATCAACCCTCTCTAGATTGTTTCACCCATCCCCACACAGTAGAGTTGTATTATGGAAATGTTAGACATGCATATTACGTAAATAAATTAAATACAACACCCGGCGGAGGTTTTCGCTAAGCCGCAGGAGAGACAGCACGGCGACGTAGTAGCAACACAGTCCAGGCCGCAGGTGTGCGCAATTGGAGTAATCAAGCCGGGACCAAGGAGAGTGAACAGGTAAGTGCATACTGGCCAAGGCGGACGGAGCGTATATGTTTTAGGTTAGAAAATGTTTTTTATGAGATTATTTTTCATATTCTGTGCTTCTGTGATACATACAACTGATTTTCAGGGAACAAACACCTAGGGGCCGTACACTCAGTTTAAATGAAATCCGTTGGGCATCCAGTTGATAACCACTGTTGTAGAGTAATAATTAACACAAAGCAGTTGGGATGTGCATTATCAGTTAAATTTCCATTTGTTAATTCATAAAGTTAAAAAGCCAGGGTCGAAGAATTTAACTGCAGAGGGACAAACGGTTGTGAATTCTGTTCTATTAATCTGGGAAGTTAAACCTACCATTGACCTCACGTTGCTGCATTTCATCTATCTGTTTGAAATGACATTTAGGAGGATAATTACAACCTTGCTGTTTTTTTCTTTTCTTTTCTTTTTCTAGGAGACATAAACGTTCATTCAGGTTCAGTATTTGACAATTTGTGGCTTCTGTAATCAGGCCTCTGGCTGACTGGATGTTAAATAGGACATGAATCATGTCACATGATTCAAATCCAGTAATTGAATTACAGACAAGGGTTGAGCTGATGCTGTAGCAGCTCAGTCTGTTTACGCACACACACAGAGTTGATGTTTTGGTAGCATCAAAGTGAATTACTTTCACAGGAGATGTTCGACTAATCAGATTACAGCCAATCAGCCGCAAGCTCTCAGGATGCTTTTCATACATGAATATGTGATTATGTTTCAGCTAATATCCCCATGCTGAGTGATACTTTCTTCAGTTGTCAAAGGTCTGGGTATCCATGATGTGGTAGTACATCTGTGTAGACACATGCCATTTAATAAAGATGCAACGATTCTTAAGGCTGAAGTTGAACACGTGTTTCTTCAAGATTAGTAGAAATGCTGTTTTAACTGTTCTGTCCTATAGAGGTCGCAAGAACATAACCACCTATATTTTTGCTCATGTTTTATTCTTGATGCCCTAACTGGCATTTTTGACATGATTCTGGTACTACAGCAGACATGTTTTGTTTTGACATGTACTGACCTGTGGTATTTCTTGGAAATGGAGGCCCAGGAAATTTGTGTGTAAGAAAGTGAGAGCAGGAACAGACATACAACACAATAAGTACAGTTACACAAGCTGCTTCAACAGTTCAAACAGTAACATTATAGATTAAACTAATCTTTTATCTTAGATGTAAAAGTACTTAGATTACCGCCTACTCTGCCCAACTCTGCTTAAGAATATTTTTTACTTAAATTTAAATCTGTAGTATTACTACAGTAATTCAAACGTCATTCACTGCACTGTTGTCATTATTTAAATGCCCTAAATTTGCTCTTGGAGAATTGCTGTTGGTAAAATAATAACTAATAATAACTATTTTGGTATAGAATGTTTCAGACTTTCACCTACTTACCTTTACTTCTCAACAGTGGCCCGAGTGGTCAGATCAATAACTGTCACCAAAGTGGTCCTTGCTCACCACAGTAGGTCAGCTTTAAATCCTGTACCAGCTGTTGGTTTTTTCAAACCCCACTTGTCAGCAGGTTTAACTCTGGACGTAATTGTTTTCCCAAGACGTGTTGTTATTCCTGAAGTTGTGTAAAACATTTAAGCGAAATCAGCCGACGATGACAATCCAGGAAAATGTAATATGATTATCTACTGCTCTCAGGTCAGTTAAACATACGGTATGAGGAGAGAGACCTGGGAAACAGCAGTGAAATCCCCTCAATCAGATTACCTCAGACCATCAAAGTGGCTGCTTACTCGGCTCTGGACTTGGCTCGGTGCACGAACAGTGCCTACTCTCATAAAAATCCATCAACATATTGTAAAGTCAAAGAGGGCCCATAAATATCAAATGCAGGATTCGGTGAGAAGGTAAAGGGCTGCCGTAATCCGAAACAGCCATTCATGCTCCATGTTCTATCTCCTGCTAAGTGCTGGGAAATTGGCTCTGACTTGGATGATGTTAAAAAAGGAGAGAATCAAGTCTGAACATGAGTGAAATTAAATATGAAGACTGATAATACGGTTCCAATTGCATCTTTTTTGTTCTGTGCCACCTCAGCAGTTTCTCATTTGAATGCTGCTGAAGGCAGAAGATAGAAAACAGTTTTAAAGGGGAAAGGTTTTTGTTTTTTGAGGAAAAACTCATTGCATTAAGTGCCTAGCTAAGCTGCAGCTGTTTAGTGGCATGGGATTTTGTAAGTAAGTCAGCCACACCAAACTGATTGATTGTTAGCCTTTGGGAAGTGAGAGCCAGCCTTGTTTCTAATAAAGAACATGTCAAGCATTAGCGCTGACGTTGCACCGATTTCATGCATTTCTGTATTTGTTTAACACATTTTGGGCATTAAATCGTCGTCCCGCAGCACTTTTCCCACTGACCTCTTGTTGCCGAGACTAATGTGAGGCCCCACTGTTCCCCTCAGAAACCTCGCTTTTCGTTAGTTTCACCCTCCATCATCTGAGGAAGTCTAAGCGTGAGGAAATAAGGATCAGTCAGCAGAGTCCGCTGTTGGGTTGCAGTAGACGAGTGTTTTGCTAGGTATCATTTGCATCGACCTTTGCCAAACAAACCAAACAGTTTTACACTTTTGGGGCCTGAATACTGCAGCCCACGATGAAATGTAGAATGGCAGTACTGAAAATCTACAGGATGAAAAGTACACGGAGTGAGTCAGAAGCAGGAAAGGGTGGGATGATGATGAAATGTGATGGAGCGGTTTAGCCATATCCTGTCGGGTTAACTCGCACATAAAGCTGCCAGAAGTGTATGAATTAGTGTCTGGCCCAGTGACAATTTTGAGTTTAATCTCTTTATATTTGCTGACAGTTGAGGCAAATAAACGCCCTGTGTTGTCAGAGGTGTGTGAGGCTTCCTTTGCCAGTTTTAGGTGGAGCATCTGGAGAGAAAAAGGCCAGCTCCATTCATCATCTTGATCTGCAGTCGTTTGATGATGTCAATTATAGCCTAGCTTTTTACATCTATTTTTTGGGGGGAAATATAAAATCTGTAGGAGTAAATTCATCAAGTATTGATGGGGACCTGCTTAAAAGTTGTGTGAATTTGCATGAAATTTTCTGTATTTCCTGCAGGTGGTGCGTGAACCTTAGCATAAATATCCTGGTCAATGAGTTAAATGCACTAATAAAATAACATTGTGCTATAGAGAGCAGCCTATCTAACTTGTTGATAACGTAGTTTTCAAATTGAAAAGTAGAGAACGTAGCTCTGAATACGTGTTAATATTTTTTTCTTCTTCTGTCTTTATCTGTGTACTGCATTCAGAGGAAACTGCAAAATCACGGAGCAATTACAGGTATTTTGTATACAGTTTATTGGTTCTGAACCTGGCCATCTGTTGTACTGGTTAAAGAATCCACTGTACCTGGTGTAGCAATATTTAAAGCAATAAGTCTGAAGTGCTTTAGTGTCAGGAAAACACTTGTTGGACAATTTGCCCACACATGATATTTATTGGGATGTAATAGGGAAATTACAAAAAGAGAAAACAACAATTTGAGTTTAATGATTTTGGTCTGGATATTGCAGCAAAATATGAAAAAAAAACCAACCCCAGCATATTTCGATTAATTCATACATTTTTGCCCAAATGGCATATGAATTGTATTTAAGGCAGATTTGCAACAACTGAAGTTGACTTGTACCATAAAATATCAAGTTATTATATGCACTTATAATAAATATTGGCTCAATCCAAAATAATATACAGCCCCTGCCATTCTACACCCTACCAGCAGGTGTCAGTGTTGAATTATTAAAGTGCACAGATCTTTCATAAGCGCTCAAACCAGAGCCGTGGAGGACACTAAAGAGATTATTTCCAGTTCTGTATTGTTCTCACCTCACGACACGTGTCTGTTAATAAGTCTCGATGGAAAATAATGAAAAAAAAATAAATACAATTTTAACGTTTTGAGTGTGTGTGTGTGTGTGAGAACAGCCTGTTCTTCCTCCTCATCCCATGAAGCCAATCAGGGACGATGCTCTGTTGCACCTTCGGCACAGAGGCTATAACTCTTTAATTAATAAACGGTGTGATTAATGAGTCAGTAATGAAATGGAAACGTGTCGTAGCAACAGTTACTCTTGTCAATTAGTGATGTGTGTTCAGCGGCTGAGACTCTGCTGTTCAGGTTAACTGGTTGTTCCTAGGCGCAGGAATGTGCTGATATGAAGATGTTGTTTGATGAACATCAATGCCTAATTATTATTGAATTTCATTAAAGATGATTAGACTTTAATTATGTTTAAGTTTTCTGGAAACATTAGCGTTTTCTTTTCTTGTTGAAGGCATTAAGATGCACTGGAAGTTTTACTGATCCCATTGCAGGTTACACAGAGAGGAGCAGTCTAAAGTAATGAAAGTCATTTCCATAACAATTCGACCTTTACAGGATCGAGATGGAGATGGTGTTGCAGAGCAGCATCTGTTTTACCCTCTCGTCACAAATTGCTCTGCTCATGAAGTCCTGATCTCGAATGAAGATAAGAAAATGAAGAAGACTGCGACCTTTCTATTCGTCTGAAATGAATATGGCTGCACGCTGAGGGTGCAAAGGAGCGAGGAGGACAGTGAAGAATAGCACTGAGAGTAGTGGGAGCGTGAATCAAACCGCCTATCCCATTTCACACACTGTGTTTTTTCGGATGGCCTTTGAAACTGCAGCACCGAGGCTCCGGAGTTGGACAGAGTAGCCACCTGAGGTGTGAAGATCTATGATCTCAAGACTACTGCAGAATCAGAGGTGCTACGCTGGGACCCCTGGAGATAGGATAGCTCAGCACAAACTCTCTGTGATCTCTTTCAGGCCTTTCAAACTGATACAAAAAAGTCGATTGTGAATACAAGGAAAGAGAGAGAGACTTGGAAAAGTTGCTCATTGTCTTGTTTTTTGCAAGTGGTTTTGAAATATTACCTAGAACCATGGGAAACAATATTACAATATTAAC